TTATCCTATACGAAACCTAGTTTGCTTTATTTTTATAAAGTTAAAAGAGTCTAAATTAGGTTCCGACGTTTTCAAAACACGTTCCTGTGTGTAACAAGCCGGGCGTAGCTTGAGGAGTAGACAAAGGCGTCTCGTAGCAATGCTACAAGGCTATGGTGCTACGCCGTTCCCTGCGCTCTGCTTGTTACGGACGCAAAGGAACTCTTGGAAAAATTCTACATTAAATTCCATATAAAATTGTATAAGCGACGCTAATACTTGTTATGTACGTTTTATTTTTCTATTTATTCAATTTATGGTCATGTTGGAAATATTAAAGGTTTTTTTAATAAAAATAAACATTTGGTACTATCATGTAATCGTTAAAGGAACTGACAATTTATACGATTTAATATAAACCGATTTACGATGTACCAAAATGAAAACATGCTACTATTTCCACTACTACTGCTACTACACTAGGTCTTACCATGTAGGACCTGAGGACTAACTTAATTCGAAGTAAGAACTGAACCGATGCATTTGTCCCATGTACGAGTACATTGCTTCCGAATTCTAGTAGTTCCAGAATTTCTCTCTAACTTGAACATTTCAGTCTCTTGAAGTACGTACGTAAACAACAGATTAAAATTACGTACAATTATTTACTCGAGCGAGTAACGGAAGCGTAAACGCGCATAACAATCGCAATCCAGAAACTCAAACGCGTAAGGACAGAACAATTTTGTTAGGAGTACCTTTTCTCAGGCACGCTTTCTCGACAAACTTCTTTCTTATAATGTTACCGAGTGTGTTAAAATATGTTTGACTTAAGACGAAGTTTTCTATTTATATACTTACTAGCTGTCACGCGCGACTACGTCCGCGCGGTGTTAAAAAACCTTAATTAGTACTCTATGTGTTCTTTCAGATTATGTTCTATATCTATTCCAAATTTTAGTGAGATCCATAAAACCTTTCTGTATACGTTCTAACAAACATCCATCCATCTAAATTTCATTCTCATTTATAATATTAGTAAGACTCAGTAAGATTTGCTGGTGCCACATTTTCACTTAATGTTTTGAAAAATCGCTAAGATTCGACAAACAAACAAATCAGCCTACATTTTTCCTTGAGATGGGTCAAGGCCTGTAGCTTTGACGCTATCCACATTAAATCACATTTTTGTTTAATTTATACTGGAACAATATAATAAATATTTGACTATAGTAAGTAATATAGAGCATACGAAAGAAACCACAATTTTTCACAGCTTTAGTATAATTCCCAAACGCGATACAACTTCAGAGTCGGGACGGATTTAGCTGCGCCCGGGGCTTACATAATTCCGCAACGCTACTCGAAAGAAACATCTACGTAATTTGTGCGAGTAATGATTTCTATTTAGAAGAGTAAGCTCGACTCTGTTGTACAATTCGGTGGGAATTTTCGAAAGAGAAAATTTCGAATTTCATATGTATATTCTTATTTATACGACGTTCTTATGTTAAAGGAAATTATTGTAAGAAGACATCAATATATTTTTGAAGAAATTGAAAGATCTTAAGTCAACCAATACGCATTGTACAGGCTCGAAAACCTCAATAGCCAATGAACAGAAATTAAGTGGACGTTTCTACCATAATATTCGTAAGAATTAAATCGACTTACCAGGCGTAAAGTACACCAACAAATCTCATACTTTGTCGATGATATAACGAATAAGTACTCGCAACTGTCACTAAAATATTCATAATAGATCCTAAGCGGTAATCGACAGTCTTATAACCTACTATACCCATGTATTTTATACATACAAATAAACACGCGAATGTGGTAGTGGTAGAGCCCGCTTTAATCCTCTCCTCTGTCGATTAAACGTAAGCAACGCATATGCAATTGCGATGTCTATGGGCAACGGTCACTTCGCTATTTCAGCGATTTCAGGTGGCCCCTCGCTCGTTTGCCACCTTATGATATGTTACACATTGTCCGTACAATCAACTAAGGAATGTGTTAACACGCTGTTTTTATAATACATAAATCAGTTTAATAATAGGATAGTTCTAAACGTTGTAAGATATACTTCTAGTATACATTATACATATCTTTATTTTTGTGTAATGGTCAAGTTATTCAAATAAAGCATCTTAATGAAAATGACACATTCTACTACCTGTAGCTTGAGGAAAAAGGTACACGAAACTAATTCGTTGCGGTGAACCTGGAATTTATTTTAAATGAGAAAATTTGTAGTAGAAATACCAACACGTATATGTTAGTACGTTTTTAAGTGTAG